ATTATGTGATTATGTGGACCGTGTGGGGTATGCTCTGGGGAACTCACTAAGTATTAGCTTACAGTTTGTGGATTTTTTTCAGGTACATCTGAGCCTAAGGGCAAGGGCAAGGCTTGCTGACGTGGCATGCACTGTCTCTCAGGCGTTTTTGTGGGACACTCTGATGTTTAGAATAATTTTGTTGATGATATGAATTTGAAAATAAATGTACTTAAGATTTTATGGCATTTTGGAAGTTGTTTTTGACTAATTAAAAATGAAAATTTTCTTTTAAAAATTGGATCGTTACATAAATATTTTACGATTATAGGCCAAAGTTAGCGAAAAACTAATCACGTAAAGGATGAATTGTCATTTAATAAATGCTTTGTTTAGCCTTATTGTATGTTTATTGATCTTGTTATTTTTGGTTTTCTTTTTTTTCTTTCGTAATTATACTAATATATATTTAGTTATTGTATATTATGTAATTATCGTAGTTTTTGATATTCTTAAAAGGATATTAGGGTAGAGTAACAACTAAGTAATATGCTTATCCTTAAGGCTTGGCTTGAATAACAACTAGGTATTATGTTTCCGTAGAGCATTTGCCAATATAACAATTTTTTATAGTATAATCATATAGTTTCTGGGCAGAGTTTCTCTAACGTATAATATTATCTTATTGTTTTGTGCGGTATAATGACTAGGCATAAATGTTATTCCTAAAATTTTGGCAGGGTAACTACCAGGCATAATATCATCCTCCCGTTTCATGCATTTTGTTAACTACTAGCATATTACAAATAATAATATTTTATAAATTTGAAAATGTAGTTTTATAATATATATTCCCCATGTATAACATTTCAAAATCATAAAAGTGGGGCCATAAGCTCACCTTTGTAGCGTGATTCGGCTGCTCTAGAACTTCGCATTGGAAGACTTGAGCCATTTGGAAGAAAGGAAATTATATGGATCGATTGAGAGAGAATAGATAATGGTGTGATGTGTGAAAAAAGAGTGATTGGGGGTCTATGTTTATAGTGCCCAATTTTGGTGTGCGCTACGTGCAGGTGCACGTTGGCTCCACCCAACTTTGGACACATGTGACCTTCATTTTTGTCCATGTCTTCTCAAATCTCAACAAATATGTTTGTCTGAGGGCGCGTCGCACATGACCCGCATTATGCGCACATTAAAACTTTCTTCAATAATTCATATATCTTTCATATGAATTTTGTTCTCGGCGTTCTTTATGTATATGTATAGCTATTGTTGAATACTTCAACTTTCCTATAGGATACGTTGGCTAATTCTGACTTTATTTTTAGCCCTTATTTTTATATTTTTAATCATTTTCAAAAAAAATCCTTTCTCTATCGTGTGGATTCCGTTTAGCCTTCTTTGTCTTAAAATTCTTATCTCGAGAAGTACTACGATTTTCATTTTTGCAACATTATCCAAATGCCAACCATTCTTTTCGTAGCTTTTGGTGTTGTAACTTCTTATGTGCGGTTAGTTTTTATAATAATTATATCTAAGTCTTACTATGTTAGATTTCTATGAAATTTATATTTTTGGAAATGTGTTGACGTGTACTCTCAGTAATGCATCTATTTGCACTGGTTTTTCTTACATTTTAGAGTTAGAAATCTTGTGTTTTACTAAGTACAGTTTCTAAACCTTTTATACTTGATGTGATTAATGATTTGGGGTCTATTTTTGTGATTGTCACACTTTCTATAGCTTTCATTTTTGTTATAATACAGTAGAAAAATAACACAAAATAAACTAGCATCCATTAAAGAAGACTTCAGTGAATTAGGTATGGATTTGTTTGAATTATTCAAAAAGAAAGGTGGAAACGGTTCAAAAACTAGGTTCTGGAAAGACATATAGATATGAAACTCAACAACTACAAGGATTGGTGTGCTTTGTTTGCAATAACAAATCAAAACGTATGTAACCTTAAACTTACTAGTTTTCAAAATTCACTAAGGTTAAGCTAGGTTTAGTTGTTCATTGTAGGTTGCTTTCAAGGTGTATGACATAGACACTTTATAGGATGCATGTACCCTATTAATTGTTAATTGTTCTCCGCATTATACATGTTTTGTTTTCTATAAAAAAAACCCATCAATATTTTGATATTTTAATATTTATTCACATATTTTGGCATTATTTTAATACATTTAAGCTATATTTTGATAAAATGCAAATATATTTGGTACTTACAATATTAAATTGTATTTTACAGCCAAAAAGGAAACTCTTGAAGAAAAAGGATTGAAACCGAAAAAAGTTGGAAATTTGGATGATTGGAGCTGAAGCTTGGAGCTTCAAGGAGAAAAATGTGAGTTCTACACATTTCCCAAAACAATAAGTAATGATTCCCACGACGTGATGTTTAAAAGAATTTTGACCTCGTACATGAAAATGAAGCTCACGACATGACATAATGTCTTTCACGTTGCGACCACATATCCTACAAGATTCTTATACGGAAAATTACAATTTGCTTGGTGCATATTGGATATACACTAAATTCACGTCGCGAGATCCTTATGGTCATGATGTGAAGACCGATTTTATGGAAACTTTAAATACTGATCATTATATCAACTTGGAGAAGAATCTGGAGAGAGATGACTTCTGAACAGAAAAATTGCGGAAATTAACCTTCTAGAGCCTTGGAAGGAATGAGATGATTGGAGATCAAGAGATTAAGAGATTAAGAGATTGTAACAAGATTTCACATCATTCATTCGGCTTGCATAGATATAATCATGTCTAGCTTAATTATATATGTGATTATGTGTTTGCTTTCTGCAATTATGAGCTAAATCATTAGGCTTTCGTTTAGTAATGATGAACCCTAATACTATGTGTTAGTTTCTACTTTTCATGGATTTATGAAGTTGGTTTAGCTTGCGTTTGATATATCAAAGCCAAGTATGTTAATAGTTTTAATCTTTGTTGCTTAAATCTTCAAGTTTTGTGTAGTTAAATGATCACTTTAATTGCATGAACTTGTTTACCTAGTGGTTTATAAATCTTAAATTTCTAGAACTAGTGATTGACCAAATCCTAGAATAGGTAATAAAATAGTTACTTTAACTGTGCTAGAGAACATAATTGGATCGTAATTGTGTTTGGTTATTTGTCTAGATCATAGATAACTAATCTTAGATTTATCCTACATAGCCTATTAATCTTGAATAATCAATTTAGTATCCACTTGTGTAAGACCGTTGCATAGTGTTTCATGAATTGGTGAAAATATTAGGAGATTGGACCAAGACTTTTAATGACTTTTGTATTGGTAACCAACTGAAATTAATCAATGTCTTTAAACTAACCATAGCAAAGATGGGGATTCAAAACTAAATGGAAGTGTTTTTATTCTCTTAAATACACTCGTCTTTAATTAGTTGCTTGCTTTAGTTTTTAGTTAATTGAGGAAATTAGGTTAATATGAACTTGCAAAATCAGATAAAACCCCTAATTTTACTTGTTTAGTAGTTATTTTATTAGTTAAATTTTGTTCCCTAAAATCAACACGACTTATTTTTCTATATTATAAACTGAGTAGGTACACCGCTTATAAGAGCATTAGTAGTAAAATTTTGATAGGTTGTAAATTTGAAACCGGTAGGTATATGTGTGCACAACATAAGCAGGTTACAAGTTTCATAGTATATATTGCTATTATTAGGAAAGAAATGTAACTCTACAAATATGGATAAAAATAAAGTATATTGTCCATTGTCTTTACTCCTTACCAAATAAATCTTAGACACCTAAAAGAAAATAACATAGACCAAAATAAACATATCTAAAATCAAATAGACCAGTTTCTTAGCAACAAATATGCAGTTTTTTTTTCTTGCAATCTATTCTTTATGGTTTCATTTTTTGAATATACACCTTAACTCCTTTATTGGATGTTTCATAAGAAGGGAATGATTTAGTGATGAATGATTAGAGGTTCTCGATAATTTTGTTCTAAATAAAAATATGTTGTTGATAAAGTTGTTAAATGAATGTGTTGAAAATGATGAAAATTATCAAGTTAAAAATCTTCTGATACATTTTGTGCCGAAGGAAATATTCATGTTTGATAAAAATCTAAATGAACTTGCTGAATAATTATAAAAATTACATCGTATAGTCTTAATCTTCTGGCCTTTTGTTTGCAAAATTCTATCATATCTTCATCACTTGTTTATATACTGCATCTATACTTGTTTCTAGACCCAATACTTGATACAACCTTCCATAACTTATGTACTTGGCATGAATAACCACTTGAAAGATTGGCATATTGACTTAATGATATACTTTGATATTCTTTTTGCAATTCCTCTCAATCAATAAGTGATTTCAAGACATTCACAAAGCAATGAAATGATGATCCTTTAAGTGTTATGGTTTGGATAAAGTTGATAGAGTTGTGAGCACTTCTATTTGACATTTCATCGAACACCTTAACTGCATTCTCATGCAACTCACAAATTCAAAACATTACCAATAAACGATTTGATCCATATGATTTCATAACTAAAATTACCCTCTTCAAAATCATCCTTAATTTTATGGAAATTGCGAATTACTTCAACTGAGAATTCGCCTCTGATCTCTAAATTGGTAAAACCTTAAATACCATGAGATCGATCCGATAGATGTTAAAAAATCGTTCAGATATGGGTGAGTTAGTGAACGATTCAGAAGACTTTGATTCGATAACAGGTAAATTTTGAAGCTTTTAAAGATTGGTTATCAACATTTTTGTGGATGATCACTTAACCTTAAGTGGAGTCTAAAATTTCATATAAGAAGAACTCCACACAGAAGTTCACGAATGTAACACAAATAAGACAAGAAATCTGGGGAAAATTGTGTATTACTATCGAATGCAATTGGACAATTTGATGTGCCTATACCACAGTGAATCAGATAAAATTCTAATTAGCTATTGAGATTTTCATCATCTGCTTCGTGTATGAATTGTTTCGGTCTCATTTGGGGGAGGAGCCCTTGAGCACATCAGTCGGAGATAATGGAGGAGCATCCAGCTGATAAAGATTCAGAGCAGGACCAACGAACCTAAACAATATCCAAGCTCCAATTATGATGTAAATCGAAGCATAAGCAAATTTGTTGATCCAAAACAACAGACCCTTTTCTCCTACATACAACTCCAATGCTTTTTCTGTAAGTGTCATCGATTCCCAATCTTTCTTCACCACTTCTTTCTTCGCCATCATCTTCGCATTGTCATCGAAGCCGTTTTCTTGATTTCTTCGCGTTTTTCTCCTCGCCCCTCTTTTGAACTTTATCTGAACTGTATCTTTATCCGAAGGCGGTGGCGATGAGTTTGCAGCGCCGTCATCTACGGTGGTGTTGTCGCTGCCGCTGCTGCTGCTTCTGGTGAGGAAGAGCGTGGCTGGACGGAGGTGGTGATTTTGGGAAGTGAATATATGAGGGGAAATGGTGATGGATTTGGTGAATGGAAGGATGGAAGAGTTCATATTTTCTGGCGTGGTGGCTGCCGGTGGATGGATGTTGTTATCCTTTTTAGAGGGAAGGATGTGTGGTGTGGTTTTGACATGGTGTTGCATGTAATTACAAAGATAGTCCTTTAACTATTTGTAGACTTGCGATTTTGGTACCTTAAAATTATTATTTACATCAATAGTTCTTAATATTATAATCTCGAAGAAATCGTGAAATGATTTGTTGATTTACATGCTCGGTTCCTCAACCTATGTGTAATCTTGAAGCAATCATGTATTTGATTGATTTGGTTATTGTTTTCATTTAGAGAATATGATGTGAAATGGTTCATGTTATCGGTTTGTTCCTCCCAATTGTGAGGTTTATGATCATATAATGTGATGATCATTTGCAATCTCTCAATTTGTTATTGGGTAAAAGTTGGTTGCTCAACATCATGATCTACACACATGGTTTGGAATGTTCATTTTGGATTATGCGTCTTGTTTAAAAGATTCCCACGAATTCAATTCCTTAATCTTGTATATGCAAGTTATATGGTGTTATAAGTCTAATGATCAGTGGATGCTCTTATACGATTATACCATATTTCATGTTGAGCTTTCTTCTATATTGATTAATGGGTGACAATGGGTGACACTGTCAACAAGTTGATATTGCACTTCATGACATTGTTTGTGAAAGGAACTTCATGATGTATTTGGCAGTGTATGTTAAATTTCTTTTTCGAAGGTAGTTAATATCAGTAAATGTTATAAATATGACTTAGATGCATGATGTCTGAGAGTAGATTCTGTAAAGTCTAATATAGCTTAGTGCATTATGTAATATTATGGTGGAGGTCGGAATGATATAAAGATTGATGCCAAAATGTTAAAATGAGTTACCTTAATGTTAATGGAGATGTAATTATTATTATGATTTGTTTAATGTTAAGGGGATTGTAATTTATGGATTGATTGTTTGGAGCTACACTGCTTGTTTTATACTACTTGTTAATTTATAAATTGTTTTTTTTATGTATTTTACATACTATAGGGATCCCTTTGTATCATATACACACGTGTGTGTGTGTGTATATATATATATATATATATATATATATATATATATATATATATAGAGGGATGAAAGTGGGTCCAAATTCGGACCGGATGGACCCAGACCCGGGAACCGATTAATGGAATTTTGAAGAACCGGAAACCGGACCGGTATGTAGGAACCTGTTCCGGTTCGGTTCCGGGTACCGTACCAGGTAAAGTGAGCCTAGAACCGGAAAACCCGGAAAAATCAAAGCGGGTAGGTTGGAACCGGATAAAGTAGGTTTAGAACAAGAAAACCCGGAAAAAAAACAGAATTTTTTGGTAAGTACTTACTACTTAGTGGGTTGAACTTTGAAAATTTTCATATTGATATCCCAACTTTGGGGGACTGTAACTCATTGAATATGAAACCCAAAATTAACAAAATTATAGTGTAAAATCATGTCAAACTCTAAAATACAATCCGGATAAAATCGCATGTCAATCCGACTTTAAACGAATGAGATATGTATGTGTTAATATTTTCACAGAATACAAAGTACAAAAATAAATAGCTAAAAAGTTGAAAATTTATGTTGATATCCCTGATGGGTTTTGGCCATAAGAACATTCCTATGTGCACATACAAACCCTAATGCTTGGATCTAGGTTTCTCTAATTGAACATGCAATATATCCAAGACTTTAATTGATAGATCTAGCATAATAACATAAGAAATCAGATTTAAAAGAATACCTTGAATTACTTGCTTGAATCTTCTTGTCCTTGGAGCTTAGAGTCACAAATGTCACTCCTCTAATGGTTTACAAACACCAACTAGCAAGAGGATGATTTGAGAGAGATGGAAGGGTGAGAAAATCGGCCAGGGTTTCTCCAATACCAAGGGTGTCGATTTTCTTAGCCTTATGGGTGTATTTATATTGGTGAGCATCCTAGGGTTTCACCCTTAAAACCCTAATTGGATAACTTAGGCTCTAAGCAATCCAATCTCTTTATGATAAGCCTTTGGACGATTTGTAGGCTTATGCAAACCCTAAAATCCGTCCACCCCTTATCCTTAAGGAGTCACTGCTCAAAATACAACTATCACACAATTGATAGTTTATGCCCCTTTATTCAATTAATCTCTTTAAGTCACCAAATTAACTCCTAATTAATTTCTGACTTATATTAATCAAATAACAATATTATTATTCCTTATATTATTCTCATAATATATTAATAATATTTCTTCTCTCATTATAAATCATCCTGTCAAGTTGCTATGGTGAAGGCAACCCAAAAGGACCATGCTCAATCGGGTCAAATACTTATCAAATATAGTTGTAGCCTTAGACACTATTCCAACAGTCTCCCACTTGGATAAGTCTAGTAACTATATATACCGATTAGCAATCGTAGCTCTCAAAGACATTGTCAAACTCTGATCTTATCAATTTTGTCCTTTAGATAAGGGATCGTATAGTCCTCTATTTAGATATCGTGCGGACAATTCTATGGAACCAATTGTCTAACAATTGGTTTCTCGATATCGGATTTATTCAACATAGAACTTAATCAAACACATCAATTTAGTTTTGACCGGGCCCTGCACATAAGTCAAATCAAATCATCGAGCGGCCGAGATATCGCTTTTACCCTCTTAGGATAATAGTAACAGATAAACTTCGACTTATATGCATTTACTTATTCATTAATCAATTATACACAACAATGCGTTTTATAGCATCAATTTACTGATGCGGTTTCGCATTATCAATGTACAACCAATTAACAAATAACAAACCATATATCTAGGTTTTATGACCATATGATATTATCGTCTTGCGATCAACCTTTTTCATTAAATTCCATAAGGTGATTCCAGCAAGCGCGGGTTTGTTCCAATGCTCAAAACTAGTTCATAAGCACTCATGAACGTTGCAGCAAACTTTTGCTATGTCTAATACCATTTAGACAATCTACACACCGATTCATGACAATCTTCATTCATACATACTTCAAACATATGAACGATTGTGGATCGTTTGAATAATTTGATTATTCCAAATAAACTCAATTATTCTGGAAGTCAAAACATGCAAAATGAAACAATAGTTAAACATTTAACATAAGACAGTAACTTTACTTATAAATAATACTCCTTTATTTATTCATCAAATGTTAAATTACATTTATCTATTATAAGTTTCTAAAATTATCTAATCTAATCTAATATCATCCTTCAGCCCAATACTCCTAGCATGCTGCAAGTGTTTAACCCTACTCAGTCCCTTCGTAAGTGGATCTGCTGGGTTATCTTCTGATGATATCCTCCTCACCACGAGGTGTCCTTCTTCTACTCGATGTCTAATGAAATGATATTTTCTGTCGATATGACGAGATCTACCATCATCCCTCGGTTCCTTGGTCAAGGCAACCGCTCCTTCATTATCACAGAAAATTTCCATAGGCTCCTTTATGGTAAGCACAACTCCAAGATCACCAATGAAGTTCTTCAACCATATTGCCTCCTTCGACGCTTCGCTCGCTGTAATGTACTCTGCTCCTCCATTAAGAGTAAAGACCCAGCCCGACTGCGAATGAAAGTTGTCCCTATCGGTTTGAAAGCTGGCGTCACTATACCCTCGCACCTTCAAGTCATCACTCCCCCCGAGGACTAAAAACCATTCATTGGTCCTCCGAAGGTACTTAAGGATATTCTTGACCGCAATCCAATGGGCTCTGCCAGGGTTCCCTTAATATCTACTAACCATGCTCAAAGCAAAGGCTACATCAGGGCGAGTACACATCATAGCATACATGATTGAGCCAACTGCGGAAGCGTATGGTACTCGACTCATCTCTTCTATCTCGGCTTCGGTACTCGGACTTTGAGTCTTACTCAACTTGGCATTACTTTGTATCGGTAATTCTCCTTTCTTCGATTTTTCCATACTAAAACGTTTTAGTACTTTATCTAAGTAAGTGTTCTGACTGAGTCCTATTAGTCTCTTACTTCTTTCTCTCACTATCCTTATTCCCAAAATATAGGAAGCCTCTCCGAGGTCCTTCATAGCGAAACACTTCCCGAGCCAGGACTTAACCTCCTGCAGAGTCGGGATGTCGTTTCCTATGAGCAGTATGTCATCTACATACAAAACGAGAAAGGTAACTATACTCCCACTAGCTTTGACATATACACATGATTCATCTTCGCTTTGTACAAATCCAAACTCTTTGACTTTCTCATCGAAGCAAGGATTCCATCTGCAAGACGCTTGCTTAAGTCCATAAATGGACTTCTCAAGCTTACACACTATATTTGGATGCTTCGGATCAACAAAACCCTCTGGCTGAGCCATGTAAACATCCTCAGCCAACTTCCCGTTAAGGAAAGCGGTCTTGACATCCATTTGCCAAATCTCATAATCATGAAATGCGGCAATTGCTAGCATCACTCTAATAGACTTTATCTTCGCTACTAGTGAGAAGGTTTCATCATAGTCAACTCCGGGAGTTTGAGTAAAGCCCTTCACAACCAATCGCACATTATATGTGTGTACGTTTCCATCCACATCAGTCTTCTTCTTGAAGATCCATTTGCACCCAACGGTCTTACGTCCGGGCACATTATCAACCAAATTCCAAACTTGGTTGTCATACATGGATTGGATCTCGCTTTCCATTGCCTCTTTCCATTTTTCAGACTCCGGGCCTACCATGGCTTCCTTAAAGCTATTAGGTTCATCTAGATTTATTAGTGTACCATCACTAATATATGTGTCCCATTCGGTGGTAATATGAAAACCATACAACTAGGGTTGAACTCTAACTCTTTCGGAACGTCGAAGAGGTAAGGACTGGTCAATAGGTTCAACCGGAGTTTCCTCCTCGGGTTGATTGTCAGCGGTAAAGGTTCCTTCATCAATCGATTCTTGAATCTCTTCAAGCTCGATTTGCCTCCCACTGTCTCCTTGGCTTATGAGTTCTCGTTCTCGGAAAACCCCTCTCCTCGCAACGAAGACAACATTGTCACTCGGTCTATAGAAGAGATATCTAAAGGATTTCTACGGGTAGCC